AATAGATGGATATCAGAAATTTTGAATCTGTCTTTGATGATTGTCTGCCTTTCTTATCGTGAAATCAAAATTATTTCCTAATAAAATGAATGCATTTTTGATGAGAATTAATTTCTGCAGTTTTCTGTATGAGAAGAATAGAAATGTTCAATAGAGTTTGACTTTTGGATCTTCAAACTTTCTCGTGTCAACCCAAAAAAACATTGTCATATTTTTTGTAAAGTGGCATTAAACGTCTGAAGAAAATTAAAATAACATTGATTGATAGAGCAGACAATTTTCTAACTTCTCATCGAATCGAATCTATTAGAGCCAAATTTTGTAATTGTCATCCATCTGAGAGTCCCAACTAAAAATAATCATATACCATTTTCTTGCAATTAATTTTTGTGTAGAAACACACTTATCATTCTTTGGAGTTAAGCTATCACGAGAATGAATAGCAGTAGTATCATTCTAAGTTGCATTGGCATGTTTTTTTGTGGTTAATCAGCTAACTGTTGTTTTTGCTTTAGTAGAAGTAGGATGCAATCAGCGAGATTTTATCAAGAGTTAGACAAGAAAATAAAATCGGCTTCTTGTTGTAAGTGACAGACAAATATAACGAACGATTTTATTCTAGAATATATTGTTTAATGCGAGGATATAGAGAAGAGAAAAAGAAAACTTTCCTTTCTCCCTTTTGTATCAATTCTATTTGCATATATTGATCAGTAAATTAAGTTTATTTCGAAGTTTGGATACAGCACAGTTAAAAGTTTACTGTAAGAATCAACACAAGTAAAATTACGAGTTTCACAAATGCAAATATGAAATAAACAGAATATTTTCATTCAGGTTCGCCAATTTATACAGAAATAAAAGCCGCAATGTCGATACTCTTTTCGTGTAGGACACAGAAAATTACATAGACGTCCCTAACTCTCTTGTGCAAAAGTCATATTCTACGTGCCATTTTAAGGGTCTCAAGTTTCGATCTTCCCTCTAATAAAACAACTTTGAACTTGGTTTTCTCTGCATCTACAGGGTTTACATCATCGTTTACATACTATACGAAAGAACTGCTCGAGTAGTATAAGTAGGGGTACGACAGCTGTCACAAAATGGCTAACGATAAGAAAACGGCATTCAGTATTTTACCTCTTCTGAATGAAAGGCAAAACGAAAAGCTCTTTTATTATAAGTGAAAATGAAGCTGAAGAGCTGTCTAATCTAATGAAAAAAGAGTTAACTCAATACCCATCTTTATCTTTGAGGACCCCATTTTGGAAATAGCCAACTTTCGATCATTCTAGCTCAAAAAGTCATCAGTCGAATTTTTTTATTTTACTCTCATTTGTGGTACTCATGGAGCCCTATAAAATGGCGGCAAACACTTGTTTAGCCCGTTGCCTTTTTCATCCCCGTTTACCTATCACAAAAGTCAAAAATATAGAGATTACGGTTTTCATGTTTTCGCGTGTTTTTCATTCTGTTCTTAAATTTCAGTCGAGGCGAAATAGTTGTTAATACGCAGTCCACCTTATTTTCAACTAAATGAATACAAAATTGGTTATGTTCGATGAATGCGGCTATAAATTTCTCGCTAAATTATCGTCACCGATACTATTCTCGCATCGAATATACAGATTCTCATTGGTAGATCAATAAAATTTTGAGAAAATAGCTTTCCATACACAGTTTTTTTATCTACAACTATTTTTAAGCAATTTTTTTTCAGTTTAGTTGAAAATAAGATGGATTGCGAATTAAAAACTATTTCGCCTCGACTGAAATTTAAGAACAAAGTGAAAGCACGCGAAAACATGAAAACAGTAATTTATGTTTCGATAAACAGGGCCGTAGCCAGGAGAGGATTGGGGGATCAATTTCCCCTTGGACTTTTTGAAAAAATGATTTTTTCCGACTAAATCCCGTCAGAAAAAGTTTCTAGTTGATAAGACTTCACACTATCTCTGAAGGCAAAAGAATCGATCCTTCCTTCGCAAAAATCCTGACTACGAGCCTGTCAATGAGTATCACAAATGAGACTAAAATGAAAAAATTCGACTAAAGAATTTTTGAGCTAGCAGGACTGAAAGTTGGCTATTTTCAAAATAAGGGTCTTTAAAGAGGAAGATGGGTATTGAGTTAATTCTTTTTCCATTAAATTAGACACCTCTTCAGCTTCATTTTCATCTCCATAATAAGAATGAAAATACCTAACACCAAACCCAATTCCAAATGTACCAACGATCAATCGAGTAAAGTGAGCTTTGCTAGAATTATACTTAAAATGCCCGTAATGTTGACACATACATGAGATATATCGATAACTCTCTGAAAAACCGGAAAAAAATGATTACTTCTCTATTTTATGTGAATGATGTTGTTATTTATCTTCAATACAGTACATTAGTACACCAATCTATTGCCACTAGTTGAGAGGATAGTAGAAAAGTGAAAATACACCGATGAACGCTAATTTGTATAAATAGTTTATCGGATGTTTGTTCGGTTGTTGCAAGAATGGGCACAGCCGGTATCGCTGAACCTGTTATTATTCTGTCAGCAATAAATTGTTAAGAAGTACATAAAAATATTTTTTAAACGTTTTATAAGTGATAAGAAACCGATCATGTCCCTTTTTTTCTTAAGTTTATTTATTTTAGCACAAACGACATGAAACAGCACTAAAAAGCCAAACAACAATGAGTATAGAATTTTTTCAAAAAAATGAACGACCAACAATATATAAAGAGAGGAAAAACGAGCACAAACGAGCACAACCATAGCAACAAACAACAGTAACATTATTATAGTAATACAGACAAATATACAGAACAGACAGGGATAAAAAAGATTGCTTGTATTCTATAGAAGATAGAGAATAGAGTTTTTTTATCACAATCAAGACATGTAGAGAAAAAAAACGACAATGGAAGAATAGAGAAAGAATATGATGCAATAAGCGCACAAAAAAAAATTTGAATTGTTTTTTTATTAATCAGAAAAAAAAACATTGTGTCAAAACATAATATGTGAAGAAAGTGATGTTCTCTACTATCTGGCAGAAAAAAAATGCGTAGAAAAATGAACAAAAAATAATAATAAAAAAAATAAATGATATATGTTATTGTTTTGAGCAAATATTGGCTTCTCTGTGTGTGTATGTGTGTGTGTACGTCAGCAAAGAGGGGGAAAGAGCAGCACCAAAAAAATGATGTCAAATAAAAAATATAAAACGTCTAACTTCACACGTTCATAAATGATAGCAAAGAGGAGAACACTGACTCGTCTGTCAACAACAACAAAGACTGCACTGACGTCTTTCTAAGTAAACAAGAACAGAAAATACTGTTATTCTGTTCGAAATATTATCGCCCATTTTTTGAATGAACTGAATAAAAACAATCTGTGATAAAGTTTTAAAACAGTATTCGAAGCACTTGTCCTTGATAGATAGAAAAAAAAAATCCTCTCTTTCAATTCGTACCGTAAGTAGGGACTACACTTCCAAGATTGGGCGAGTCCATTTCGAGTTTCGTAATTTTTGTCAAAACTTTTTTTTTTCTGTCGTTATTTATGTTTCTTTTCTTCTATGCCATACAACACATCAAACTTATTATAACAGAAAAAGTTAACTTCTATTGTATATCCCATACTGATATTGAAAAACTGAAAATTTTCCTGTAAGAACTTGAATCGATCAGACACGAAATACATAAACTCAGGTTTGAGTCCGAATCTTTCGAAAAAATCTTCAGTCCGAATTCACCGAAAATTTTTCCAGTCGAGAATCGGACTCGCCCAGTCCTGTACATTTCAAAAATGTGGGAATAAAAAAAACAACTAATTAGAGCCGTAAAAAGAAAATGGCAACAAGAGGATGGCAAAAGATGCTACCATTGATAAACAACTTAAACCAATAAACGTAGAAAAAGAAAGCAACTCAAAAACACACCAATACATACACACACGCACTTTTCTAACCGGGTTTGAACTATATATATGAAAAACCAAAACAAAAAATAAAAGCAAAAAGAAAACAAAACAAAAATAAAAAATATCCAATAAGTAGTATTAATGCTGTACCGAAAACGAAAAAAAAAAAATCACACACACCACACAAAACTTGTTATAAGTCTCTCTACTCATTTTTTTTTTTTGTAAAAATTTATCGAATTTTTTTTTGAAATTTTTTTTTTATGAGCTTTTTTTTTTACGAAACAAAAAAACACCACGCACACACATACAGGCACACAAAGTTAATCTTGTCAAAAGACCAACAACTATAAAGAGAAAACAAACGTATGATTGAGTGTAAAAAAAAAATGTAGAGAAGAAGATGCAAAAGTCACATGAACAATAAAAATTTCTTCTCTAAATAATAATAAAAAAAAATGCCAGCAATCTTGACTATGATTTGTCTTCTGATAATGAGAAAAATGAAATAAACGAAAGACCAACGCTAAACGAATGTATGAGATGATTAGAAGTACATGTACTTATACTGTATGCACATCAATTAAAGACAAAATATCATCACAGTAAAAGATGACTGGACTGATACAACGATCGATAGCAGTTAAAAAAGTTCCTACATAGCGCCGTTAGTTTAAGTCCACTGTCTACGATCTATAGACTATCCCATGCATTCGTTTAGTCAAACACAAAAACAGATAGAAAGTAAAATTAAAATAAGAAAAAGGCCCAATTCTAATATCACATGATAGTCGATAGAAATAGTATGTTTATTATCATCGCTTGTTCTTAGGTTTTTGATGTAAATATTTAACAAAAAAAACTGATAATAAAAAATAAAAGTAAAGAGCAAAAAAATGTTGAGACCAAGAGAGAGAGAGAGAAAAGAGAGAGTGTGTGTGCATATTTATGTGGTATCATTCAGACTGTTCACGTTCACAACCAAAAGAGAAAAAGAAAAGCAATAGCTTTTGAAAAAGTAAGAAAAAAGGAAAATTGAATCATTATATATTGATTGATTATCTTGTTTTCAATCGTTATGTTAAATAGAGTGTGTTTAACACAAGTAAATGATGATTATTTTTTGCCAATGTAACAATGTAACCTTGCGACGTTATTTTAAGACCACAACAACGACTAACTTTATGTGATGGACATTCAAATTCTTTAATTAGATCACCTTCACATGAATAAACTGATAAATGAAAACGATTACCATGACTATCGCCAATAACAACATCACCTGAACGAAAGACAGACAGAAGTTTAATTAGTTAAAGATAGTAAACAAAAAAGACTATACCTTCATCGCTAATATCAATTCCATTTGGAAAATTTGTTATATTTTCATTTCCAATTCGTCGTAAAAATTTTCCACTGTCATTAAACACGCAAACACAATGCCCCTGAAAGAACGAATAGACAAAATAGAGAGAAATTTCAAGTATAAAAAGGAAATAGTCTAAATTTACTTTAAAATCGCAAACAAAATAATGTTGTTGATATGTTGCTATATCCGATGGTTCGCGCATATAATCTGAACAATCAAACCATTTTAATAATTCACCCGTTTCAGAACTAATTGTAAACACAGTTGGGCTAACACTATCACAAACAACAATATCACCTAAAACACAAAAAAGATCGTAAAGAATTTGTTTTCTAAACAGTAAAATCACTTTATGTACCACAATAAATAGAATTAAGAAAACATGTTTTTATTAGAATAGAGATAGATTGATAACTGTATTTAGTGAAAAAGAATATCGACTTACCATAATGAGTGATAGCTAAACCAGCCACAATATCAATGTATCGAATACTGATTTTTTTAATAAAATGTCCGTTTCGTGTGAACAATTGCATTCGAGATCGTTCATTTCCTCTATCACAAATAACATATTTTCCACCTAATGATTGTTTAATATAGGCTACTTTTCGTGGATACCATAATTGTCCTTCTTCCCTTCCTGGTATTCCAAATTGAGTCTTATATTCACCTTGTATGTTAAATAGTTGAATTCGATGATTATTCGTGTCGGCTACAACTATTTCTTCATCTTGGCCCAGACAGAATCCATGAGGTGAATTAAATTGACCTTTTTGTGGACCCAATGAACCAAATTTAGATCGTACTTGCATTGATTGGCAATGACCTTGTTGTGCTGCATGTTGTGGCATGTTGAACGAGAAATACGATGGCTGCGTTGATGGAACGAGTGGTAGTTGGGAGTAAGGTGTTGTTGATCGAGGTGAGTTGCCGACAGATGAACCATTGTGTGATGAAGCAGCATAAACAGGCATACGGCCAGGAAAACCTAAATGAATAGATAAAATAACATCATGTAACATCACTAATAATGAAAACTATTGAAAGTGAAAGTTCGAGCCATAGAGATGTCAAACATCTTCACTTTGCAAGAAAACACTAATTTTATTTAGGACGGTACCATTTGTCGGTAATTGTAATGGTGAATGACACTGTCTATCATTTTGTGGTAAGCTTTTATAGTTGGTCATTGAAAATGCTAAAATGAAAATGAAAAGAAATGAGCAATGGATAATTACGCTTTACGCTTTGCTGACATATAAACATATATCTGCGACATGCATAAAAGCATGTTTCCCTCCACGAATGGTGCGAAGAAAAGTAGAGGAAAGGAGCGCATCTATAACGTAGAAATTAAAAAAAACACAAAAATGAAAAACTTTTCTCCGCTGTGTGCAAAATTTCCAGCTTCTGAAATTCAATAAACAATAGTTTATTAAAGTTGAGTAAATGGCTGTATCTCTGTGTGTAGTAATCTAGACCCCTAGTACACAATACAGTAGAGTTGGTTTCATTTCACCTACTTTCATTGTTTGGTTGACTGAAATCTAGTGACGGATTATGTTGTGCTGGGTGAAACTGTTGTTGTCCATGTGATTGCTGATTAAAAATATTTTCTAGGGCACGAATATTTTCTGTTTGAATCGAATTGACGAATGATGTTCCACGTAAATCGATCGCTGTTTGCTGTGAGGGAATTGCGGCTGACGTTGAAGCTGACGTTGTTAATGTCGTGTTTGTTAATGATGGCGTGACATCATTACCGTGTGGTGGTATACAAGCGAAACCATTAAAATGTTGAAGATGCGGTTTATCAATGTAATAGGCCAATGGATCGATCGACGCTGATGACAGAGTAGTTTCTGATTGGTCAGGTGAGGATGTGGGTAAACTGAATAGCTAAAAAACAAAATAAATGGGCAATCCGATCAAACAACAGTTTTAACTGTAGGTCTCAAAGCGTTTTTAGAACATTTAAGAAGTTCATTTAATCAGTCTCACTAGTCCTGCTACATCAATAATAAATTCTCAATTTTAGTCGAAAATATTTTCAGCAATAACGAAATTAAAACTCTGTACTTACCGCTTGCTGCTGCTGCTGTTGTATAGTTTTTTCGTCAACATTTTTCTCATTATCCTGTTGTTGTTGTTCCTCAGCAGAAATCAATTTTCCAAAATATTTTTTTAATACTTGTTCAATATCGTCATTAGATTTTTGTTGTACAAAATCAATTTGAGTGGGGGAAGATGAAACTAACTGGTCTCCATTAGTCATAGACCTATTTTCATTTAATAAAGATAATTGATGATCAATTAACAATTTCATTTTAACAAGTTCAACTCTAAAATAGAGAAAAACAGAAGAAATAAATCAAGAATAGCTGTCATTACAGTATTTAGTTCACAAAATGTTAAAGAGAAATAACTTCAGCACTGTTCGCCATGTCTGCAATTTTCCATCATAGATCATAATTTCAATATAATTCTCAGTTCGTAGCTGTCCATTATTCATTATTGAGAATTATTATCGAATCTGTAAGAATGAATTATATTGAAATATGATCCATAATGGAAAAATGATAGATATTACGGACATTACTCTTATAGTAAAGGATAAATAGATTTTCTGAACTGTTGGGATAGAGAAGTAATGTCCCACGAATTATAGAAATTTACCCATTGGATTGTGCGAGAATTCGTTTTGTAAAACTGTTCACATCCTCAAATCGTCGCGTTGTCATTTGGACTAAATGTATTTCATCTAATAACTTCATCTCTAACGAACGTTGTATATCCGACAATGACGATAACTGATCGTTCTAAAAATAAGAAGAAAAAAAAAATTAAACATTATTCATATGGTTCTCTTTCGTAGATGAAGTAAGTGATATAAACAGTTTTTTACATGTATTTTTGTTAATAAATTTTGAAAAAATTGAAAATTTTCTTGTAATTTTTCCTTTGTTTGTTCATAATCCGTTTGTAACTGATTTAGTTTAACATCCACTTGTGCTTGAGCATTATCTATATTTTTTGTACCCATTTTCATTCTCATTTCCAAATCATCTTTGAGTTGATTGATAAACTGTGGACTTATTTGTTCATATGAAGACTGAGGATGTTTATCCAAACATTCATCACACCATAATTGTCCAAGTGATGCTGAATAATATTTTAATTCTTTCAATGAATGAATAGGGCATGTTACACAACGATCAAATGACGTTAAATCACTTAAATTGACGACCTATAATAAGAGTGAAAAATAAATTCAAATATGTGAGTGCTAGATCGACTAATCAAATACATACCGTATGGTTTAAAAAACACTTCATATTTTGATGTGCGTGAACACATTGTTGACATAAATATGTACTACATTGTTTACATCGTGCAAATGCTAATTCTTCCGTTCGACATGATGTGCAACGAACGAGACCATCTTGAATCAGACGGAGTTCAACTTCATTCAATAATGCCACATCATCTAATAAATCATCATCCACAACACCACTTGGTATCTAAAATCAGAAACAAGAAAAAAAGGAGTTTTATGACAATAAAAAATGTCAAGCAGCAATTTTTCTCATTTATTACACAAACAAACATCGGTATTCTATTCTCAGCTGCAATTTCACATAATTATAAACATACTTGTGTTATTTGTTGACATTCTGGACAAGTGATTGTGTTTTGTTCTTGTCGTGTTTTAAGACATTGTAAACAATAAACGTGTAGACATTGCAGAATTTTGGGATGCGAGTTGAGTTCTTTACATAAAGAACAAGTTAAATGCTGATCATCACTTGTATCATCTTCTAATAAAACGTCAGTAGTTGTTGAATCATCAACTAAACTTGTTAAATCAGCCATTGTTCATATAAGATAAAAAAAATGTATTAAAGCGCTGAAACAGAGAAATTAAATACTGTATATTTTGTATGATTGCATCATTTGATAAAATCAAATCAATAAATGTAAGATTTGCTATGTAAGATTATTAGTTTGCTGGTCTGATGGGATTTTCTCTTTTTTTCAGCGCAAATGCTCAACAGATAATTGAACAAGTCTTTAATTTATGTAATGATACTCAGTTAAACCATCGATGAAAGAGAGTAAAAATAATGATTGGCGTTCGAAATGTTTCTAAACTAAAAGTCAAGTTTGTCTAAGCGGTGATCAAAAGAAAAAGGCCAGCAACGTGAAAAAATTATGATGGTGATTTAAACAAATCAGAACAAAAACATCATGTCAGCTAAAGCGGTTAAATGTGCGAAACTTCAAATTCATGCAATTCAGGTTGTCAACAGTGTGATTATTATGTCAACATGGAAGGTAATGAATGCTATTCTAAATAGTTGTGTGATATTTATCGAATTCAATTAACTATTCAACCATATGGTTTTTTGATGATATGAAGAACGAATAAATACACAATAACGACAGCAACAACAATATAAATATATGTGGATATGAACGACAAGTGAAAAATTAGTAAAGGTTAAACAGGTATTTATTTAGTAATAGAAACTTATTTTCTTTTTCCTTGAGTTTCAATACATCTTGAAACTCAGTTTTTTGCCAATCTGACTGTTCACATACTGTATTTTTCTTGTTCAATAAGAATTGCGGTTTTTTTGTATGTTTTATAACTTTTGCTCTGATTATGAGTCTGTACTTGTTTTCAGCAACAATCAACAATAGCAAAACTCTTTTAGTGATCTTATCGCATAGATGCTTCCTTGAGACTTTGTGAGATTTATCGAAAACCAGTGTAAAAGCCATCGAGCTGTGCATCTTATCCAAAATATGGTTGGTTCTTCTCGAAAATTTCGAGATACTATCCAGTTTTACTCTGTATGGCTGTCCGGAGGGATAAACAGAGAGAAGAGAGAAGAAAGAATAGAATAAACAAACAAAGATACCTGTTTAGTACATCTTATTTATTGGTGTAGCTGGAATAACCAATTGAAACGATCTGCTTGACGTCACTAGCATTCACAAAAAGCTAACCTACAACGGCATTGTACGTCGAGCTAAAATTTGGGGCGTGAAAGATAATTCTCTATAGAATTTTTGATCTGCTTCGAATGTGTAATCGGTTTCGACAGAACAAGATTCAGTTGATATTCTGGCATAAGGATATTCCGGAGTCATCCATCTATGTACAAATTTTATGTCTGAAACGTGTTTAACGTTGCTGCCCAACGCACCTGGAACGCATTTGTAGTCCAGACGCTTTTTGATTCGTGCAGATGTTTTCATTTCGGACACGTTGAAAAAGTGGTTTTTTCAGTTGTAAAAAACGCACATATTCACCTGGCCAGTGCTTTCAACGTCGGGGGTCATTGATATTAGCGTACTTCCTTTGTAAGTCGATATAGTTTTAATTTAAACTCGTCTCGATTCCAGTGCACCAAAAGCGTCTGTGACAAAACTTTCTAGCATGTAAAAACACTGGCCATTATGGGTTTATCAAACGCTGCTTAAGAGGGAACCTCTCGAGGTGATAAAACATTTTTTGATCGAAATCTAGTGGGTTATAGGTTATCGATCATGCTGATTCCGAATATGATTATAGGAACTACCCTTAATCGTTCAAAGATCCGGTTTTCTGGAAAACCAGTCTTTTCGAAACTGTAAAAAATAACCAAAACCTTTCTTAATGAGACACGATTGTAGTCCACAAATTACTGATTAAAATGAGACCTCTCCCAGTTCTACAAGACCTTTCTTTGCAAAGTTATAGAATTTACAAGAAAAGCCCTAAATGTTGATTATCAGCTCAAAGCTATAGTTTAGGGCTTTTCTTGTAAATCCTATAACTTTGCAAAGAAAGGTCTTGTAGAACTGGGAGAGGTCTCATTTTAATCAGTAATTTGTGGACTACAATCGTGTCTCATTAAGAAAGATTTTGGTTATTTTTTACAGTTTCGAAAAGACTGGTTTTCCAGAAAATCGGATCTTTGAACGGTTAAGGGCAGTTCCTATAATCATATTCGGAATCAGCATGATCGATAACCTATAACCCACTAGATTTCGATCAAAAAGCGTTTTATCACCTCGAGAGGTTCCCTCGTTAATGAATAAACGATCTAACTTATCGTCAAATGACATTCTTTTAGCGATATAACATAATTTTTTCGCCGTTTTTAGATATTTTCATTCGGAACGTATTAGTGCCTAAAAGTAGCATTTTTTAAAAAACCAGACAATTAATAATATCATTTATGACTATTTTGCACTTGGAGAATGACTTGTTAACAGCTATTTTATTATTTATTTGCATCTTACTGTACTCATGAGGGTCTATTAATACAAAAAAATACCATTTACAGGCACACAATGTAAAGTAAAAAAGTAAATAAGTAATTTTCACAACACTTACAAATATATAACATACCAACCAAAAAATAGACATGTTGTCCCGTCCTTATTCATACTTTTTAATAATTATTGTACTACTACTTTCACTTATAAAGGTACGAAAAGGAGGTACAATTAAACAAAAATATTATATAGTGAGGCACAGTACCTTGAGGAGGCACAAACTAACGCCCAGAAAAGAAAGAGGAAGGAATACAAATATGCATACGCACAACGCAACATTAAGAAGTTTTAGGAAACAATTGAAACATCTGGAGATCGTCTCCGTCGATCATTATGTTGAAATTGGAGAAAGGATTAGAGACACACCATTTTAGGCACTGTCCAAAAGCAGATGTATTTGACAGAAAACGTTTGGAATGATGTAAACATTACACATAATACTCTTTGTTTAGCCACGGAGAACAATTAAGGTCCGAGCGTGTGTATGTGACATCTCACCCTAATAATCGAAAATTTAACGATAAAAATTAACAGGTGCTCGTGCATATTTATATGAATTATTCCTTCAGCGAAAAAAATTTTGTACTAGCTTGAGCTAAAAAAATGATGACCTTTTCAATCCTGGTCTCGAACCGGCTTTATATGTAGAAATTCTCTCTCTGTGGCTGTTATGTAGTAAACTTGCCTAGAAAGTAGAATAACCGAAGTACTTTAGAAAGCGCTTGGTAGATTTTCTGTAGATATCTTCGAAAAATATCAAACACAAGCTGCCCAGGTCCATGAAAATGATGTTGTTAACTGAAGGTTAACGGATCGTTTGTAGTATAGGTTGTCAAGACCGTTTTACGGTCGTTTTTTAGGTAGTTTTACGGTAAAACAACGGTCCGTTTACGGTCTTTTTACAGACTGTTTTTTCATCGTTAATGCAACGTTAAATTTTTATTTTTCACTAGCTATCTCGAAAATATTGTTTGTTATGTGGCAAATTTTGGTGTTTTGGCCCTTATGCCATTTCTGGTACCAACCCCAAGATCACACTACTATCTTCAGTATTAAGCTCAAGACAAATGGTCACATCCTCTAATCAAGTTTTATTGATTTGTATATACGATTAACGGAAAAATTTTACATTATTCAAAGAAAGTCAGTGTTCCATTTACGCTAGTAGTGATAGCAAAATACATAGGACGTTCAAAAAGTTACCGAACTGATTTTCTTTTGTGTGAATGTGTGATAGTTTGGAGGGACATTGAATTAGTTTCGTATTCTAAACTCTTCCTTTTAAATTTTTATTAACAAAAATTATTTCACAAAAACGTTTCGGAAGAATCTTCTTCCTTCTTCAGTTTGCAAAAATAATGAATGACATATAGAACTATTTAAGAAAAACACACAATATATAAGGTGTATGTGTTCTTTTAAAAAAACAAAAGGCGTTGGGATCCAAGAACCGTTCCACTTTTATTTTACATTTTGTAGCAAAACACTCAGTATGATTTTATAGAATATTTCAAGACTAGGGGTGTTAATTTAGTTTTATTGTTCATTTATAATAATGAATAAAAGTAAATGAATCATTTACACTTAAAAGATAAAGATAAGTTCGTCATTTATATTTAAAAAATAAATATAAATAAATCAAAACAAAATTCTTTATTTTCATAAAATCTTTATTTTATAAAAGTAAATGATTCATTTATATTTATTTTTTAAGTGCAAATGATTCATTTACATTTATTTTCCAAAGTAACACTAAATTAGCACCCCTATTCAAGACGCATCTTTTGCAAGAAAGCTTGGTTCCTGGGAATGAAAGCAAAAAATGTTATGAACATAATTCTGAGTGCTACTTAATTTGCACTACTTGTTCCAATGTGACTGAAAAAGATTGTTATTACAGAACATAAATGTTTAATCGACCAGAATCCGTAATGTCTATTGATTAAAGGCTGTATCAATGCCGTGCGTAAGAGAAGTGAATGACTTGTCGATAAAACGATCTATATACGGTATACAGCATAGACTATGCAGGGCCTCACCAGTGAACAGCTCGTTTTTAGACCATTAATTGACGTTATTAAAACGGCTGATTTACAGTGACGTTAATGGACTGTTTTTAGGCCGCTTTTACACCGTTAACGCGCCTTTTTATAGTTGACCGTTAACAGACCGTCTTGGTTGAGCTGGGTAGACAACTTCATGAAGTAACATGTCAGATGACTGCCATCTGTCGACGTAACGCTTGTGTTTATTTTTTAACTAGCTCACAGAAAGATTTAAAAAAAGATAAAAAGTTTACTGAAATTTTCAATAATATTTTGCATGTCAAAGAGTTTCCCTCTTTCAATTGTAAAACATAGTTTTTCAGCAATATTTCCCGATCCAAGATCGTGCTATGCTTTTTTCTGAAATTGAATCATTTGAAAACCCCTTTTGTGTAAATTTTATGATGTGCGATGCAATTAGACAAGATACAATATATTTAATTTCATATGAAAATTTTATTTTACTTTGTATTATTTGAAAGATAGAATAGAATCTTCGCAGCATATTTCCGACATGAAGTGTTCTTTTAAGCTAAATGTTTGATAATTGTTGTTTTAGAAAAAAAATGAAAAATAAAATGAATACAATTTGAGAAACAGAGAAATCCGAATTCTTTTAACCTTCACAAGATATAAGGCACATTAAATAGAAGATTCTTCAATGTGTTTCCGTTTTTATCTTTCTTGACGTATATACTTGAAAAATGCTAGAAAAAGAATAATATTTCATGTTTTTTTAAACTGACATTTACTATGATCAATTGAAGCTATTTTTTATTTTGTTTCCAAGTTGAACTAGACAGAAAAAATTATTGTTTTTGAGGTAAGTAATAGTTCCCATTATTCCAGATGTCCCAAAATAATTACCCGTTTTGTTTGTTTGTATATATCTCAGTCCACAGATATAATCAAATTTTAAGTTTTTTAAAAAAGATGTGACATTTAATTCTCTACAAAAAACATATCAGACATCTTTCTTTACCTCAAAAATAAGAGAATATGGAGGAAATACTGCGAATGTGCAATCTCAAGTACTTCCCAGCCCGAAAAACAGATTTTCAATTCAGTTTTTGTTTTTGTATATAAACTTTTTTGTTTCAAAGAAGAAATAACAGGACAAATTGAGACAGTTATCACATTACATGTTCATAGTTTGCTTTACTACATGACTAAGAAATCTCAAGTTTATATTATTACTGCAAAGATGACGGAGAGTTTAATTTAGTTTCTTTCATTTTGCAATATAATATATAAAAGTGAAGACAGTCATTTTACTTGAAAGGTTGTATTGACTGACAATATTTTAAATTCTTTGTTATCAAATGCGATTGGGAGCGAATTTTGTTTTCTTTTTTCTTCGTGCCAAAAAACATTATTTTAGGTCGAAGTTTCGGGGCACTTGAGACAATTTTTCTAACTGGAGTAAAATCGAATATTTTGAGGCCGAATTTGTTTTATTTTGAGGGAAAATAACTTTGGTTTTGCGTACGAACTGAAGCAATTCAATAGTTGCATTACTTTTAATTAAGACAAAAAAGTTGTCCTCGGTTTTAGGACAAGTTTTGGTAAAATTGCTTTTTGTACAAGAAAAACACTTTTAAATGTGGTTTACGAAAAGAAAGACGACATTCACGAGCAGCAGACCCTTTGATGTTTGGCGACTATAAATATAAAATAAAGGCGACTATAAATTTCACGGTGATTTTTGACTACAGAACGGGATATATGTAGGTTTGTAGAGGAAGACTTACTCTATCCAGTGGTGTATATATTGTTGAATCCTATCAGAGAAAATTAAAGATAACCCCTCTTATTGTTTACACTTTTTAAGATTATAAAGTAACTTTATAATAGAATAAAGTGTCTTCTACAATAAAAGACCACTCCAGCTCTCCAACGCCTTCTGTTGAGAAGACACAATTTTTTTAAAATTTATTACTTTACACTGGAAAATTTTAACTTTTTGAAACTATTTTTTCTTTCACTCAGTACTTGATAAACTTTGAAACAGTCAGTATTATAGAGTAAATATTTTCCTACAAAATTTTGCTTTAAGCCTTTAAAAAAGTCACATTTGTAATATAACGTCCAAAATGAGCATAACTCCATCAGAAAACATGTTGAAGAACTGAGAGACATCTCATTTTGTAGAGAAATATTTACTCTACAATATGCTGAGGATTTTCTATAAACTGGAAAATCGCTGGGGATTTTCTAGTTTATCAAAATCAGTCGAACTCGAGATTTTTTCTTTCTTGGGAGTTATTTATAGAAATTCGGTCAGGAATTTTTAGACCAAATACTTATTCAAGCTTTTGTTTTGCAATCAGTGTAGGTATAAGAGTATCACGTAAAAACACTCATATTACACTTAAATCAACTTTGACAGTTTCTACTGTAGATCACAATTTTGCCTATGCCAGCAAGAGTTTTGATTTAGGCAGAGACAGTGGTGGCGCGAAGTTTCGGTAGAAAGATCCCAAAATCGAAGACGTTCACCAGAAATTTCTCAAAAGCATGAGGGAGCGGCGTCAACCCCAATACAACCTGGTCGTACCGGCACTCGGTGCAGACGCGTCGCGGAATTCTCAGTTTATAGAAAATTAAAAAGGAATTTCTACTTTCTTGGAAATTATTTATGGAAATTCAACGACGATTTTCTATAAACTGGAAAATCCATGAGGAATTTCCATTCTTTGAAATTTGCCGAGCATTTTCCATGAATAATTTCCAACCTTACAGTGTAGCCATTCGTATCTCTTATACAAGTGGAAAAACTTTTTTTTCCGTTTTTTCTGTTTTGAAATTATTCACGATATGTTACAGAACGTATCTTATATGAATTTGGAGCATATAAGTAACCTGGCATGCAATGATTGTATTTTTTTTTATATCTTATTGGACAACGATGTGTTCATGTGTCGGTGGTAAACCTAAGGTTATAGAGCCTACGCAGTATGTTTGTAAAGGTAAAGTAAATAAAATTCAAGGTTTAGATGTTTATAATGTGGGTGACGAAGAGGCTGCATTGGTTGTGATTGTTCTCTGTGATGTATTTGGCATTAATATTCCACAAACAAGAATATTCTGCGATAGATTAGTCAAGGAAACTGATGTCCGAGTGTTCATGCCAGACATTTTTAGAGGTTTGTACGAAAATAACAGATGTCATTAAATTAATTTTAGTATTTTTGTTCTCTGCAATTTTGACAACAAGAGATTGCTGTACACTTTATCTTTCTAAATAGGTAAACCGTATCCGGTTGAAAAATTTCCGCCATCTGATCCGAATGAAATTCTGGAACACATTGAAAAAGTTGGTTCATGGGCTATTGTTGAAAACGATTTGAAAATGTTGAATACAGAAGTTCGAAAAGCGGATGAGGAAATCAGATTAGCCATTATTGGTTTCTCTTGGGCTGGATCAGTAGCATTGAAAGCATGTGGTCATTTTAATGATTATATCTGTGGTATTTCCATACATGGTTCAATGTTAAACATGCACGTTCAAGATGCGGACAAAGTTCAATGTCCAATGCTATTCCTACTAGCAAGTGATGATTCCCCTGTGGATGAAATTAAGAATGTATTAGGGAAAAAACCATTTGGTAACAAGTGTCTGTACAAGACATATCCGAACATGAAACACGGTTTTGTGGCTGCTCGAGCCGATATGGCAAATGAAGAAAACTTACAGGCAATAAACGATGTGCACAAACAATGTAAATCGTTCCTTCAACAATTCTGACACTCTTATATATTATAGTAGTACTTAAATTCGATCATATTATCTGCAAAGATAGGGTTAATCATTAGATCATTACTAGTGGCATCCAAAAGTACAGTTATCTCTCATTCTACGTACAATATTGCAAGATTATATTAAAAATAAAGCCAGGCTCAATTTTAAAGGTTTCCTACACTGTAATCTTAAATTCATTTTCAGTTTATAGAAAATCGCCGGGGATTTTCTAGTTTATAGAAATTCCTCAACGAATTTCCAGCTTTCTAGGAAATGTTGATTTTCTAGTTTATAGAAAATCGACTTGATTTTCCATAAATTCGATTTTCTATAAAGGTGGAGAATCGCTGAGGATTTTCTATAAATTAGAAAATCCTCGGCGATTTTCTAGAAAGTAGAAATTCGACCAGGAATTTCTAGACCAGATACTTATTCATCTTTTTGTTTTGCAATCAGTGTAGATACAAATGCGTCACGTAAAGACACTCATATTACACTTAAATCAACAGTTACACTTAAATTGACAGTTTCTACTTTAGATCACTATTCTGCCTATGCCAGCAAGAGTTTTGATTTAGGCAGAGACAGTGGTGGCGCGAAGTCTTGATAGGAAGGTCCGAAAATCGGAAACGTTCACCAGAAATTTCTCAAAAGCATGAGCGGGGTCAACCCCCATACAACCTGGTCGTGTCGCCACTCGGGGTAGACCCGCCAGGGAATTTCCAGTTTATAAAAAATTAAAAAGAAAGTTCTTCTTTCTTGAAGATTATTTATGGAAATTCAACGGTGTTTTTCTAACAAACTGGAAATTCAAAAGAATTTGCAGATTCTTGGAAATTATTTACGGAAATTCAACGAGGATTTTCTAGTTTGTTAGAAATTCGATTTTCTATAAACTGGAAATTCCTCGGAGAATTCCCATAGGTACTCTTTGAAATTCGCCGAGCATTTTCCATAAATAATTTCCAACCTTGCAGTGTGCAGTAAAAAATCGACTTTTTTCGTTTGAATTCAATCTTTCGATATACACATCATCCTGTAGTCTGAAATGCTGTTTTCAGAAATGCATCACGAAAAGTTTATGCTTGATGGGTTATGAAGAGGTTTAAGCACATTCCACTTAAATAAGCAGGTTTCTGACCATATTTTTGCCAGTTAACGAGGATGAAAATGGTTGGAAATGGTTCGTATGACATCCCTCATATGAAAGCTATCTTTGATTTGTACTGTCGGCGGATTTAGAGGTACATAAATACATCAGCTATTTATGCAACGTGGATAAACTTTTTAAAAAGATAATACCAGACTAGTGATGATATACCAAAGGCGGGATCGATTCTACTCAATTTGATCTTGAAAAACATCAGCAGATGCTATTCCACCTTTGTGATGTATTCCATTTCAAAGAAGTGTTTTTTGCTCTTTTGCTTTTTGGTTAGTCTTTTTCATGCAACCTGTGCAATTAGAGTGAGCGACTTGCATGTAGCTCAATCTTGTTTTACGTTTTTTTCAGAAGCCGTTTAGTTCCTAGGGGAAAGACGTCTTATAAGATCTGACGATTTCTTATGCAATTTTGCTGCAAGATCTTTTGACAAGAACTTGTAAGATCTTATCCCAAGATCATGTATGATCTTGTGGAATCTTGTAACTTCTTGTTGTAAGATCTTCAAGATCAGCTTATAAGAAATCTTAAGATCTTATAAGATCTTGTAACAAGAAATCGTATGATCTTGTGATAAGAACTGACAAGATCTTGCAAGATCATATGACTTCTTGTTACAAGATCTTACAAGAAGCGATGACTCATTCTTACCACATAAATTTTGCAACGATATATAGTATATATAAAACATAATTCTTATGATGAAACTTAGAATTTTTTCTTTCTCCAACTGCACACATCGGCTGAACACAAATAAAGTGCATGGCTATAAGAAACGTGGTTAAACACGTTACTAAGGACGTCAGGGTCCCTATGCTCGAAAATATTATGAAAAGAAAAAAGCTGTTTTTTAAAGAGGATCTGTAGGGGAGCTATAGTACAGAATCAGAGACATAATCTTATATGATCTTATGAAATCTTTCAAGATCTTGTCACTTCTTGCACGATCTTATCGCCAGATCTTGCAAGGTCATACAAGATCTTGCTGTAAGAAAAATCTTGTGAAATCTTATAAGATTCTTGAACCAAGATTCTTGTGGAATCTTGTAAGATTTTCATATGATCTTGTAAGATCTTGTGGTATCTTATAATATGATCTTACAAGATCTTGTATGAACGTACAAGATCATATTTCAAGATTCTTCGCCCTGGGTTGTACGATATCATTTTCTTGATAACAATATAACGCAAATTTTTTTTCTATTTAAACTGTTCAGCTCTTCGTGTAAGTTGAACTTGGCAAAGCACTTGATCATTTTAGGTAAAGCCTTAGCACGGACTTAAGAGTCAAAATGCCCGCCATCTCAAATTCTTGTTGATTCATGAAAAATTTTAAAAAATAGCTGACTTATTTACAAATGTTTTTCAAAAACTTCTTATTTTATTCAGCTGACAGTACTTGACTTGTTTGCCCTGACACAATATTGAGAGACTGAACGAGAGGAAAATGTACATGAAAATGTTTGTGCACCAATTATCGATGATGTTGTCCGTACAATAAATGGAAGTTTGCAGTCTATAAGAGATAAATCTCAAACACATACAGATAGAACAGAAACGTAATAGCACTATAGCTAGCGAAGGTCGCTCCAGACGGCAAAGAATGATAAGTATGTTCATTGTAATAATGCTGAAGTTTATTTAAATTACTTGAGCTGTTAGTAGCCTTTATTTCAAAAATGCAGGCCGGCGGAGCTATTTACAATCGAGCGGATGACACAGAGTCTTTTGCTCGGAATTTAAAAGAAACAAAAGGTACAACGATACAAAAACTTTGTACTGTAAGCTAAAAATTGGCTATTATATCATTAATGTTTTCTTGCGTGATCATGTCTTCGTAATATAGTGCTCGATCAAGTGAGCGACGAGTTAATTCTATTGAGTATGGTTTAATCTTTTGGATTTTACTTACTCGATGCACGTACTCTACTGATGTGTAGATTGGGACACCTAGTGCTGCTCGAATTCCTTTGTTTTGTACTATTTGTAGCCGCTGCCATGTTTTATCATCCGCTGTTGGTATTGCAGACGACCCGTACGTTATTACTGTCCTGATTAACGTTTTAAATAAATTTAGTGTGATTTGCGTGTTGAGTGCTTCGCCGGTGGCTCTTGCTAGAAAACGAATTAATGTTATTCGATAGCGAACTGTTTCTTCAACATGTGCCTGCCATTGCAATTTTCGATCAAAAATCACGCTCAGATACCTTGCTGACTGTTGTGGCTTTACTACTGTATTTCCAACTGTTATGTTCATTTCTTTTTTATACTTTTTCTTTGAATGTGGAGCGAAGTGGAGCATTTCGGTCTTTACAGGCTGTATTTCTAACTTCCATGATAAGCACCACCGTTCAATGCTTCAGTAGCTTCTTGTAAATTCTTCTTTAATGTCATGATAGTGTTTGAGGACGACCATAGTGCAGTATCGTGCGCGAACAGTCCGTTTTCCACGTCTTTTGGAATTTCATCCATAGAGTCGTACCTATAGATGATATACAGTAAAGGTGGCAGAGGCGATCCTTGCGGAGTACCTCTGTTAAACCTGAACGGTCTTGATAGTAAGTTTTCTAATTCTATTTGAGCAGTTCTACCGTGAAGAAACGATATCACCCACTTGACGATACACTCAGGCAGTCGAAGGTCATGCATTTTGTAAATGAGTCCCTCGAACCACACTGAGTCGAACGCAGCTTTTATATCGAAGAATATCACGGCCGAGTGTCGTTTTTGAAAGGAATTATTTCGAACGTGATTCTCTAATCTGTATATGTTGTACATTGTGCCCTTTCTCTGTCTGAATCCTGCCTGATGTTCTGGCAGGGATGTGACTTTCCTCTAAATTATTCATTATTCTTTGTTTTATTATTTTTTCCAGTAACTTACCTAAACAGCTTAATAGGCTGATAGGTCTGTAACTCGACGGTTGTTGTTTGTTTTTGTTCGGTTTCAACAGAAGGATGATGAAAGCTGTTTTCCACGCAGCTGGAACGTATCCTGTTCTAATACTACTGTTGAAAAGTACTGCCAAATTAGCGAGTAAAGATGGAGTATGATTCTTCAGGCACCGGTTATGAATATTGTCCAGTCCATGCGACGTCCCAGGTGCAACACGTCTTGTAAGACCTTGCAAGATCTGATGTTTTCTTGTGAAATCTTGTAATAAGGTCTTACAATATGATCATACAAGATCTTATTATAAGATAATATAAGATCTTATGGAATCTTGTAACTTCTTGTTATAAGGTTTCCCAAGAGCTGGTTATGAGAACTGACAAGGTCTTGTAAGACCTTATGACAAGAATTCATATGATCTTGTAAGATCTTACTAAATCTTGTACCATACATTGTTGACTTTTATATATTTTTTTGTCACAAGACTACATAAGATCTTACAAGATCATATGAATTCTTGTCATAAGATCTTACAAGATCTCATAAGATCGATGACTCATCTCTACCATATAAATTTTGCGACGTAATACAGTATATATATAACATCATTCTCTTTGAAAAGCTTCAAACTCTTTTCTCTTTTGAACTTCACACGTCAGTTGAGCACATACGAAGGGCATGGTTAAGAAACGTGGCAAAAGACGGTCCTGTGGCCGCCTAGGGGCAAATGTTAGAAATTATATTAGAAAAAGAAAAATGCAGAGGTATAGAGGATTCGACAGGAAATGATCAAGCGTATGATGTTGTAAGATCGTATAAAATCTTAAGCCTCCTTATAAGGTCGTATAATTTCTTATACCTTCTTTGTGTAAGATCTTATAAGATCATACAAGATCCTGTACATTCCTATGATAAGAAAAATCTTGTAAAATCTTATAAGAATCTTGCTACAAGATGTCATATGAAATCTTGTAAGATCTTATAGGAAACTGATAAGAATTAATAAGATCTTTTGAAATCTTATGATTTCTTATTATACGATCACTCAAGATCGTATATGATCTTATAAGATCTTCCAAGATCTTGTTATCTAATCCTTGGACCTGGGGTATTCTTTAAGTGTTTCATATGATTACGAAGTTCTTTTATTGTAATTTTAGGAGAATTTTGAAGTTCTTTTTTGTATTTAAGTTTCAGTTTGTTGACGGTGTTTGTTACATGTTCGTGAAACGGTGTTACATCTTGTTTAGACATATTCTATCGTTACGCAGGGAATTGTTTAATAACACCTTGTACTTATAGTACTCTGTTTTTGCTTCTTCTGTGCCAGTTTTTTTCCACTTACAGTATCAAACGTGTTTATTTGCGAGTAAACTTTGGATTGCCGAACTTGGTTTAGTCAATTTGAGACTATTCGATGCCGGTGGAATCGCTGTTTTTGCAGCAGTGACTATACAGTCAGTAACAAATGCATTGAATTTATCGACTTCATCCGACGTTTCTATCCTATTTTTATTGTCCCAGCGAGAGAGCAGTGTATTCAGCTGTTGTCGATAGCCCGCCCAGTTCGCTAATTTGAAATTATAAGAGAGACGAGGTGATTTTGGCTTGCGATCGGCACACGCTTTCAGCTCAAATGTCAGCGGCTTGTGGCCGCTGAGAACACCGAGAGACGGGTGTACTTCCATATTTGCTACGAAATAAATTGTTGGTTGGCTAGCTATAATCCAGTCCAACTTCTCTTCGTATTCTATCCTTTCGAAGGTTGTTAGCCTGTCTCCAACTAGAGCCCTGCATTAGATGGACATGTCCATGGACATGGACAGTTTTTTTAAATCTGTCCATGGACAAAAAAAAATTGTCCATGCAGGCCTCTATCTCCAACAGACATGTAAAAACCTTCATCTAGCAATTTCTGCAATTGCCTGCCCTTCGCGTTCGTTCGCTTAGACCCCATTTCACGTAGAGCAGCATTTAGATCTCCCATTACTAGACAGTCTGGATTAGTGTCTTTTAGTTCTTGAAAGAGTTTTAAGCTAAGTTTGGCTTTAGGAGGTATAATTGCAACTAGAAGAGATCTAGCAATCGCCCGATTACTAGATTTCCACGGTCGTTACTCAATAGTTGCAATCGTGTAAAAATCTGGTAATCTAGATGAATCGGACGATACTAGATTTTTTTTTATGCTTCGGGATGTGCAATTGGCGCTTTTCTCTGTTGTCTTTTTAATAATAAGTGAAATACTGATTTGCGGTAGAATGTCACGCTGGTATTTAGTGGAGTTTAGAATAATGTACACTCAGCAAAGCCTTTATGGTAGAAAACTTCTGTATTATAGAGGTTCATGCTATCATTTCGATTGGTTTGCATCGCAGCAATGTTCAATTGAATGCATGACGCCATACAGAGATAAGTTGAATTACCGTAGACGACTAAGGCCTTGTCCAGACTACACTCTTTTCTCACTTAAGTATTAACTTAAGTCATGTCGAGCACGCGACTTAAGTTGAAATTAACTTTTTCATCAAATACGGTTACGAGTTTCTCACTTAACTTTTGTAGTCTGAACAAGGCCTTAAAGGATTTTCCTTCGAGTAACTGATTAAGTAAAGTCTTTTCAGAAAAAAATTTCAGAGAACATTTTGCCAACCAACATTAACATCTAAATTTTAACTAATAAGTGCATACAATCACTTTTTCTGGTCGTTGCTGTTAGGGTCATTAATTTATTATAGCTCAGGGAAAATATCAAAAATTGCAGTGATTGTCGACGATTGCTCGTAAATTTTACCTCTGACCTCTCTCGGCTGTAGAAAAATACATGAATTTATGCTAAACAAAAGAAGTATCAATACCAGTGGAGTCAAGGCGTTTTGAATTTATTTCATGCTAGGTGATACACTCATATCCGAATTTTACACTTAGTGTAACTTGGATACGAGAAAAAAGTGGATCTATCGAATAATTTGAATAAATTGAAGCATTGAACGTGAAGAACAAATATGATGTGATCTTTTGTAGACCTATTTCTGTCTTAAAGAAAACATTTTTGTTTAACACGCCCGTAGCGATCATTTTGATCGTTTTGCGATTTTTATCCTTAATAAAACACACTGCATACAATTTATTTAAAAATAAATTATGTCATAACTTTTAATTTGTCCCACAAAAATTATTTTTTGCAGAATTTTAATTCATTTTTGAATTCAGAACCATTTTTAAGTATAAAATTTTTAAAAAAAACAGTAACGGTCAAAATGACCGCTTTGGGCGTTCTAGGTCATGAAAATTTCCGGATGTTATAGTGTTAATTCCATTTGGGCTAAAGTATAGTTAACTTTTTAAGTGTTATTCATGATACGTCTGTTTTAGAAACGATTCTTTAGTATGTAGTTTTGGTATTCAAGCGATACAATAGCTTCATGGCGATTCCCTCATGCGATTTTAGAAACATTTTGTTTTTCGAACAAAATTTATGAAAAATTTTTTAATCAATGATTTTTAACGGATTCTCACGGCTTGTTCAATGTTTTTTCATAACTGCATCCAACGACTAGAAAATCACTGAAGCAATAGAAGTGAAGAACATGTCTGAATAAGATGCAAAAAAGGTACACTTGGATTAATGTTTTTCTTATAGATTTTACTCGAGTTCTAATTATTACTTTCGATTTCTAATTGTGAAAACGGTATATTTTATTATCACTTTAGATCATTTTTGTTTTTGTTTATTTTTATTTCGTCTTTTGGAAATGTCGTTAAATGAAGATTTGAGCCCATGTGCTTTAAATACACCCAGTTTACCCATGTCAACAACAATAATTCAACACAATCCACTATCTGAAGCTGGTACATCTTACATCTCATCTACGACGACAACGAGAACCATGACAACATTAATCACTGTGCCGAATTCATTCGAAAATCCTCTGATTAAAATAAAAAATGATTTGAAGCAAAGTTTTCGAGAACCAACAACATCACCATTTCAATCAATACTCTCCTCCAAAACTCCAACAACAATAATTCGGAAAGAAGACGTATCAGAAGCATCGCCAGGTATACTCATACCGCCATCAACAGCCGAGGTAAAAGTAAAAAGTTTTCTTCTGATTAGAAAGTGAATTTTTTGCACGGCCAATGCAACTTTCTTTAGTCTACACTTATTAGTTATACATCCAATATCATTCACTTCTTATTAATTATCGAAAGATTTTGAATGTTTCTTTCTTTTTTTATTTAGGTGATGTCTGTTATCGAATCAATTCAAGGCACAAAACCATCAAAAACAGAAGCGACAAATTTAACAGAATCAACTCAACTTCATGAATTAACTAGTATCCCCGATTCATCTTTATCTCCAAAAAAGAAAATCTTATTACGTAGCCAGTCGGAAAATGAATTAACAGCAACGAGTGCTGTACTACAAGCTGATCACCAACAATTTCTTTCTATTACTGACAAACCACACGAAGAAGAAAATTTAACGACAGAGTCAAAGTTACATGCTTCTGTAATGGTGAACAATACACATAATAATACGAATAACCATGCATCAATTCAGAACGTTCATCATGATTTTACTAGTGACGCATCTCAAACTCAATCTGGCAACAAATATATTCAAATAGTATTCAATAATCAACTGCACACATTTCACTTAGATCAGTACGGTCAGCCACATGATGAATTGCCAACAACAAATAAAAGAACCTTTCAACAAACAAATATGAACAACGGTAGGTAACCATTACGATGTGATGCAAGACGAGCAAATCTTTATTTGAACTGTCTGCATTGTGGAACTTTGAGCAATTAAACCCAGGATTTTAGAAGAGGGAACTAGGATTCAAACGATGCGAATGAAAACATAGACAATGTACGAGAAGAAAATATCATGTAATAAAATCCAAATGACATCGAACTACGTATTTAATAAAGAGAAAATATAGAAAATGATTATATCCTTGCTTGCTAAAAATGCAAGATTTAAGTGAAGAATAGAAGAAGCGCACTTTTATCTCAATGTTCGGTTCATGAATTGCACACAAAGAAATATCGTTTGTGCTTTCCGATGTTTGAAAGATTATGATATTTGGATAAGCGTAGATTGTATGAAATGTAATATGTTATACTCTTCCCGATCTGCAAGCAAAACTATCATCGTTCGAAACAGCAGACTGAACATCGCAACGTAAAAACAAAATTTCAAAGCGAAAAATACAGGCAATTGTTAAGAAACATCTTATATTCCTATCTGCTGAAATAAATATGCGCTATTCAACTTGTTTAATGTTTTTGAACTAAGGATAATCAATAGTTTTTTAGCTCACATATTTTTCCTCCATATTATTCCTCATTTCTTTCTGCTTAGTCGTTTTTCATGATACAGAAGTATGAACCTTGTAAAGGCGATATAGTTCGACCGAATTTCATTAATGATGAAGAAACAGTGTGCTGCTTTGGAAAACAGCGAAAGTGTCAACAATAATATAAGACTGCTAATGGATGAAATGATTTGTCGAATTTTATTTTCGAGTCTCTCTTCGCGTCCTGGTTGTAGAAGAGTAGAAGGGTTGGATTTATCGACGGAAGGCTCGACAAGCAATATAAATAGGGTATGCGTGGACTACGATTAAAAAGTAGATAGTGGAACTTTCGACTGGAAAAGGTGAAGTTCCTGCCAATGGTAGTAAGAAAGTTTACAATAGGAAAACAATCTATAAAAAATATTACACATGGTTGGTGTTTAGTTTTTAATCTCTAATTAATCATAAAATGAGATATCAGACGTTAGAATAACTATTAGGTTGCACTCTTTTATACTAAACGTGCTTTATCACGTTACTTTTGTAAGTGACAGGCGATAATAGGTATACCACTCGGAATTTCACTTCAAAACTGTCGAGTTCATGCTAATAAAGCATTTGTTTTTGCTTAGATGAGACAGTAAGTGTAATTGTTCAAAATCAACAGAACATGTCAAACGAAGTAACATCGAGTGATCAACCTTTTCATCAAGCTAAACGTTCAAAAGTGGCAACAGCAGCAGCAGCAGCAGGCACCAACGGTCTTCGTTCTTACCAAACTCATACGATAACACCAGCGACCACAAATAGTTATCAACAACAACAACAACAATCACCACCTATTGCTCAGCCAACCGTCTCGGGTGTTGCTATTGGCGAGTCCGATGTGCGTCGTAGACAAATTCGTGACAGTAATCGTGAAGCAGCGCGTCGATGCCGTGAAAGACGTCGTCAATATATCGAAACATTAGAAACAAATTTGGAACAACAAAAACAGCAAAATCAAAAATTAGAATTAGACATTCAACATTTGAAGAGAGAAAATATTCAGTTGAAAACTATTCTCAGTGAAACAACAATAACAAAATTGTCTAAATCTTCTTCATAAATTAACTGCTGAACTGATAACAACACTACAGCTAGTAACATAACTCATAACAACAAGAATAATTTTTCAAAAGTACAATGTATCATGTTTTCGATTTTTGTATTTTTTTTCCTCTTTATTAGTGCCAGGAAGTACTCAGGTTCGTTTTCCCTTAATGGTACGCTCACGAATATATGTATTTTTTAAGTGTCAATCACAGAGTTTACTTTTTTTTTCAAATATTTTTCGCCGTATAAAATCATTGATAAGAATCTTTTGTTTGTTTTTCAAAAAAACCAGTGAAGTGATATAGAGAAGTTTGCAAAAGATTATTTTCTTGTGTGAAAGAAAAAGATCCTGATAGAGATTTCTTTGCACTTTTTAAGAACATTATTACAGTGTTATGGTCAGCTAATTCTTTCAGCTTTGTATAATTGGGGATGCTAATCAGATTGATCTCGTTGCTGTTATATTGATGTTTGTTAACGATAATTTTTTTTCATACGTTATTTGGTCAGTTGCTCATCTAGAAATATATACGTAGAAACATATGTAATGATGTTTTTGCTTTTATGGTGTGTATAGTAGACTCGCACGCTGCTTATTTCTGATTCTTTCGTTTAATGAACAGTGTTTTTATTTACTTTTTTTTTCTTATGTCTTTCATCAAGTTTGAGATGAATATTTATAAGAAGAAAAGTATCTATTTTTTCTAATGTGTTCTTGTTTTTTTACCGGTAATCGTTATTTTTTGTGTAAATATCTATAATTTTGAATACTCAATGTTCAAACATTTTTTTAACAGTGATCCCATTAATTCAAAAACATTTTTTTAATCAGTCGCTCTTATGCTTTTTTTCGCGTATTCAATACATTATTTAACCAAAAAATTTTCGTTTGGCTAACAATATCGTTTTTTGTATGCGTTAGATATGTCAGTTCACATATCTACATTTATATACGCATAATCTGTGTGTGTATTAGTTGTGTGCTTTCTACGTGTGTGTGTGTGTGTGTGTGTGTGTGTGTGTGTGTGTAATTATGGTAAAATTAATCACCAGAGAACCATAGAATTATCATGGTTTGTTATTAATCCCTATATTATTGTATAGAAATGAACTTAAGAATAATAGAAATGCCGTATAGGACATTCTTACACGGCTTAAAAAATATAAACCATCAAAAGTTATATTAAATTAAATAGATATAATGGATTAATAATAATTAATCTTTCATTTAAAGAGTTGAACTCAACTTATCTATTCAAAATGATTCATCTACACGATTAAGCTGGACACATATTTTTCACCATATCATCGGCAAATTATATAATAAAGATGGAACTGATTGGTTTTGAACGAATTTTCCTTGAAGAATTTTGCTGTTTGAAGAAAAATGGATTTCTGCACATCTGTAATATTTTTCCACTTATTATTACTCAGATAATTCCACTAGAAATTGACCAGTCTTAGATCAATTTCCAGCGTCGACAACAAACAGAGCTTAAACTTTTGATCAAGAAAACATAACTTGCGAAAATTTTAAAATATCGGTCCGACGTGTGATATTTTCGATTTTTGTCAAAACCTGCACTAAGTATCAAGATGTTTTCCCCATAACAATAACTTGGCAGAACGTCAAATTTTTGCTATGCGTACTATGTAGTAGTGCGATCGAAAAGACATTTGTAAGAGAAATTAAAAATATATACATAGCAGAGATGGGCAAGCCATGCCTTTCCTCGGCTCGCACTCGCCACAGTTCGCGAGATAGCGACTCGTGACTCGGCTCGGCTCGACAAAAACATTATCAAATCAGATCAGACTCGATGCAGCTCGTAGACTCGTGGCTCAAGGCTCAGCTCGCGTGCGCTAATAGCGGTAGTTTCGTCCACATATAGCGAATGTCTCATAATAAATGAGACTCCATACTTTAAAAAATTTTCTCTTTTCAGCGCTAAGACATATTTCTTTTTCCAAACGATGCGTCGTGAAATTCTCACCAACAAGAAAACTACGCAAATTATACGAAAGAAGAAAAAAAATGAAAACTTTCTAAATTCAAAAACGATTTCCTGTGTTAACGATTTAAAAATAAGAAAAATTGAATTAGCAATTTTGTAGCCCTGACTGCGCTCTATCTTTTACTTACACTTCAAATTTCTTCACATCAAAATCGATGGAGAAATAATAATTTTTCTGTCGGTTATCACGCATTTTTACACGTCCGGTAGGGTGCGCCAGAAGTCCTGAACCACTTTTTTTATTAAGTTTTTATCCATATTGACTTGCGTTTAAAAATTTAATATTTAACGCAAAAGGTAGAGAGTTTCATTCTCTAGAAAACTACGGTTTTGTTTTGAAATTAATATGAATAAAAACCGATCATCTATCTGATTGCGGTTCTTCTTAGTGGTATTTGACTAAAAAAGATTTACCAATCCAAATCAAAACACAACACACCATTAAATTCAACGCGAAATTTTGTACCAAGTTCTGTACTTCATGTGGTAAAGCAAAGTCCTTCTAAGTCAACGTGGCTCTCGAAAGAGTTTTTCATGAAAGTTTTAAAGGAGCCTAGGAAGATCCATCTAATATTATTTTTTACTTTTAAAATTAAAATTATAATTTTATTTGCTGGTAAATAATTTCAAAACAAAATATGTATTACATAGAGGTTAGCACATCCATAAAAATTCTAAAAATCTCAAAAACTGAATAGAATGAACTGCATTTTTCTCTAACTAGATCAAGGTATTTATATTTTCGAGTAATGTTGACCTAGTACTGATAGAAAAATAAGGTAGACTAAATTTTCATTTTTCGAAAGATCCTTGTCTGGGACTTAAAAAGCACACTGGTGCCCGATAAACAGACTAAAACACTGTCAAATCGAATTCCAGACGTAAAATAGCATCCACGAAACTCCGTTCACAAAAGAGCATATCAGTATTTGACGAAAAAAGCGTTCGCTTGAATGTTCTTTTGCCGTACAAGTTTTCGGAAAGTATTTTCAAAATTTATCAATTTTTCAACCGTTTTACTTCAACTAATTCTCGATGTTTTAAAAATATATATATTAAACATAATATCAATTCTTTTTCTCTCTTGCAGCTCATCAGCTAAGAACCAGACACCGATAGTTTCAGAGCTTTAATCTTAGTACTATCTTTTCATGTGTGTGCGTCATTTCCTGAGCTAACAGCTGTTGGTGCTAAGACTGCATCATCAGAAGTTGGATTTGATGTTGAGAAAATATGATGTTGTTAGTTGTAAGAAGTCATTTCGTAGTAATATCCAAATTTTGCGTTGTGAAGATGCCAATTTCGGATATATAACCTTGTAGGAGAAGTTTCAGATACATAGTTTTGACCACTGTAAAGTATGTTTTATAACCCATGCAAACGTCTGATAAGCGAAGTAACTGTCCTATCGCCATACCCTAACCCATTACTTTTAGAAAATTGCCATTCAAATTCGGATAATTGACAAATGTTAAATGTTTGCTTTGGATGAACTCGCTTTGAATGAAACTAAATTCAATATTAATTTGCAACGAAAAATTGCCACTTGGGGATATGTCATTATCACATACTATCCTCTCTAATTTATCTATCGCCAAGTCATGAGAGAGATCTATCATTGGTGGTGGTTTTTGACTCCTCTCCTTTTTATGAAAAGCATTATGTTTTCGCCGTTTGTAAAATGAGACAAATCGCAAAACATCTCAATTGTATATAGGTGACTTTTCTACAACTAAACCATGCTACCTGTGATCATTGTGTTTTTGGTTGATGAGTAACTTTCACATAATTAAACAGCGTATTAACATCTGTGAGTATAAGTATCCGGTTCAATCATTCAGTATCTGTCGTTGTCTGGACAGTTATTTAATGGATTCCCAATCCAAACAATTCATTCAAAAACTATTCAGCCTTTTCTTTCAATTTTAAACTGTTCTCTCTCTCTCCACATTCATCATTTTTTTATCTTCTTTTTTCCACATGTTTTATTACGTAAAGACTTACATTTCAATTCCAATTGAGTAATCGCATATTTAATGGCCTATGCTTTATACATCATCAGATCTTTACTGACATTTCTAAATGTAGAGCCCTGTTACCAAGACGTTTTCGTTACCATTACCATGGTCACGGTGATGGTACTGGAATTCCCACCAGCTCTTTATTATAAATGGTATCATACATCACTTTAGTGTATAAAATATAGTCAAACGTTATATAACGTTCAGACCTACAGATTCTTTATTTTCTGCCTTATACACACGTTTTTATTCTTTTCTTTTCTTCTGTGCAAATATATTGTATTACCGTACGTTACCACTACCATGGCTTTTAATTTTTGTTACCATTTACCAACTATTACCAGGAATTAAAATTCTTTTTTTATCATTACCATGGTAATGATAATGGGATTGTTTTGTTACCGCCGGACTCTATTTGAATGATGTCTAACCGTTGTTATCTGAATACTGGATTATAACTAAACAGTTCGGATTTAGTTCTATCAGTTAGCTTCACTTGCTTATACTTTATGTTCATATTATGTCATATCTTCATAAGATTGATTATCTGGTAGCGATATGATTGGCGTTATGAAAAACATTATCCTCCGAAGGAAGCGGTAAATATATTTTTATGGGAAAGCACTGTCTATTTTTTTTTGTCTGATATCGTTTAAAACCGAATCTAATATTTGTGATTCCATATTTAATCAAAATTCTTTTTAAACTTGATAGGAATTTCCTTGACTCATTACCCAAATAATAGAAACGCATATTCCATTTTGCTTTGAGATTTATCTGTATTTTTTTGGGAATTGGCAAAAGTACTATTCGTATATCTTTTTAGTGCCGTTTGAATAGTTCTTTCTAAGAACTTTGATGGATATCCATTTTCATGTAGAACAGTCTTGATCTAATTAATTTCAGAGTCTAATAACTTTTTTCTGAACAGATTCGAACCGGGTGGATAACAAGCGATATTATTAGAGCAATTTTCTAATATTTTGAAGAGCCTGAATCTTATTTCATGTATAAATGGGTACATGTTATCTTTCTATATACTGCTGTTTTGAAATGATCTTGATCCATGAGGTTTTTCAATGAGTACGTCTGAAAATGCCAGCTTATCTTTCTCTGTCTCTAGAGTAAACTTTATCTTCAGATGAATACTGTTAATATTGTTTAATAACACTAGTACATCATCTATTCTTCCATTTACTACGATTAGAATATCATCCACATAGCGAATCAACAACTTTATCCAGTAATCATTCTCTGATAATAATGTGCTCATTTTCCATAAATTTTTCAAAAGTATTCCTTCCTTCAATCACACGTTAAAGATTGTCCAGCCATGTGTGTTGGTTTATGAAAGAAATGAAATCAGATGAGTACTAAAAGAGACACCGATACCGTATGAACGTAATACTTTGGCGTATAATGACATCTCAATAAAAAAGACAGTCATATTCAACTAGACGATGAAAAATGAAAAAACAGTGGAATAATAATAGAGAAAACAGCAGATATAGCTAGCTAATTTATTTTTCTTTTAAGAGGAAAATATCTTTTATATATTTTTCTCTCTCTTCTCTCACAACGTTTTCAATAGTCATTCGCCTGCTGATGATACTGTGACAGTGTCGAAAGCTCACGTTTGTACGTAAAAACGATTTTACTGAAATTCTTTCCGATTATTTTAAACATATTATGTTTCATTAAAAACGCTAAAAAGTCAAAAAGTATCAATAAAACATTATATTGTGAAGATATAGATAATTAAAGTATTTCTGTACATGTGTATTTTATAAGCAAAAAGTTTCGAAATATAAATTGTCATTCAGCTCTGTTTTTGAATAAACAAACGGAAATGCAGAGAAATTTAGTTGATTAATTACATTGAGAAGATGATGGACAATGGAGAAAAAGTTTAAATTCAATATTCTGAAAAACATTAAGCAATTGCAGCCATATGATAATAAGATGAGCTAATATATTGGACATTACTTAATGTGTCAATCTTTCTTGGTATACCTTCTTTGTATAGATACCTGTGTCCCTCCGATTCAGGATGGCCTAATCTCCCGTCGGATCCACATCCCCACGTGTAAACCTCGTTCATCATTGAAAGTGCACTTGAATGTATACCACCTGCACAAATCTGTTTAAATGGAATCGTTTGTGAAACTGTAACAAATGTCCATGAACTACAAAAAGTGGCTGTGTCGGGTGTAATACCTAACTTTCCTTTGTAATTTGAACCAATTGAATATACTAAGCCGTTTGCTGTTAATAACAAGGCGTGTGGATGAAATTGCCCACGACTACATGACACATGAACAGGTTTATCTGCTGAATTTTCATCCAAATTGCGTATGACTGGTGCGGTTATTGGTACATCTGCATATTTTTCATTACTAGAGCCTCGTACAGGAACTGATCCCCAAAGGTAGATTTGACCGTTTTGTGTAACAAATGCGCCCAGTGAAGATCCAACATCAATTGTTTGTATTGTATCTGAGTCAATCAGACGGAAAACTTCCTTGAATGTTGTTGTAAATCCAGATTGATTGAAACATATCTCATGCACACGGCTGAAATCAATAACAATTACAATACTGTTCTGACTACATGTACAATGTGTAATAGATCCTTGAAGTTCATTATTATCAAGTATTTTACGCGGTTGTTGTCCAATACCTTTACCGAATCCCCATAATTCTTTGTCAACAGTCATAAGAAGCGTTGAAGCTGTGCCGCATGAAATATAAGTAACTAGTGGTATACTTTTGAGCAAAGTTAAAGCTGAAACAATAGTAGTATCATCGTTTTGACCTAAACGACCATTTTTTGGTTCGTCACCGATAATGTATACTTGGTTTAATGTATCTAGAACAACAGTGAAGTTCGTACCGCAACTAACTTGTTGAAAGTTAATATTAGGTGATGGTTTTCGAAAACAAGTCGGAAGGATACATTTTCCTCTATGATTCGTTTTTGGATCATATACAATGCCCCATTGATAAAGATTTGTCATAGTTTTCTGATATTCTTTACTTTGATATAAATGTTTGTTTGAATCGTGCACTGTAGCTACAATTCTGCTTAACGTTTTACTAGAAGAGAAAGAAACAAAAGTTTTTTATATAATTTATTAACAAATGACATCCGATGATGGATATGTAAGTTAGTGCTTACCAAGATGGAAGAAAGAATACTCCGTCTTGCGGCTACCGTTTCAGATATACGGTGCTGCTGAATGACATTTTCAATAGCCCAATATCTTCTCTGCAGTTGACAAGCTTTTGAAACGGTCATCCATCTCGTTACTAGTCATCAGCCACAGCTCTGGACAGAAGGCTAGCCTGATGCAGAGTTGTTGCGCCCAGTTACTTGGGCTTCCCGTGCTCACTCACTAACCATGTACTAGCTTTCCGGAAAGCTACACGAACTAGCCGGAGAGCTGTATTGTACATCAGAACGTAGTGAGTCATGCTGTCTAGAGACCTGCACGGGTTAAGAAAACGTAACCCGACCTCGACCCGACTGTCAAAATGCCGATGCGAATCCGACACCATCTTAATCGGAACAACTTAACCCGAACCCGATCCGATAAATTTTTACTCTTTTGTTTTGTTCTTAAGTTTATGTCTTTTTATTTACCTATTGTTTAGTAGAGAGCAGCGCATTACAGGCGAGTGACCTTTTGCTAATAGTCTGTAATATTTCAGAAAATTTGAGCGTTATATCTTTCTAAATTCGCAATATTATCTCTAATAATGTTATCATTGAAAATTGTGCGGTTTGGAAAAACATTGTTTTCCTTCAAGAAGAAAAGTTCAATAACAAGCTAATTTAGGAAGACATAACGCTCAAATTTTCCATAATATTAGCAAAAGTATAAAAGAAAATTTCACTTCTTAATTCTTTGTTTTGACTGGGTTGCAGAATTATTACTATTACTACACACAGTGGTCCTTTAGAACAAAAAACTTCATGATTTTTGAAAGAACTGATATGGGTCATCCATTAAGGGTTTTTATCAGCTCACTTTTTTCTATTAACTAGCATAATATCATTAAAAACGGAGTTATGCATCTGAAGACCTTGCCTCGTTAGTGAATGCAATTGTTCTGAAATAAGTATTTCAACTGAAAATTCCAATAGAGTTAACTTTTCAACGAGTAATACAAAATTGAAATTATTATTTATATTTCAAATTGCGCCGCAAAATGTTCAACCCGAACCCGACCCGATTCGACAGAATCTTAACCCGAACCCGAGGGCCGGGTTAGGATCGTGTTCGGGTCGGATTGCAGTTCTCTAATGCTGTCCTCACTCAGCAAGATGATGCTACTTGTTCGAGCAATGGCAACAGTGTCTAACCTGATCGATACACATCGTGAAGGTTTGAAAACATCGGACGCATAGTCAATTATGGCATATCAACGTATGGTAAACGCAGATCCAAGACGTCTTTTTGTTAATATATTGTTATATCAGTATATTTTCGTACCAACAGTGGAATAAATGAGCGGCGATCTGAGCTGCTAAGAGAAGATTTAGTGTAAATCTTGTCTCTCTGAATAAATCTTCTAAAACTCAAGACTGATTTTAAAAGTAACAAATGGAGCCGAGTGATTCTTCATCACTTCGACAATAGATTGCGAGGAGAGAAAGAGATGAATACAGAGAACAAGTTCATTTTAATAATATCTGTTTTTACATTGAACACGGCAAAAATATGTCTTACTATCAAATTTGGATAGCAAACGGTCTGATCATTGATTACTGGACTGAGCGAAAGAAAATTGATTCCTATAGGTTTCTTAGATACTCAATAAACACTGATAAGTCTCAAAAAACGGTTCTGAAGAGCTTCTTTTCTTATAATAAGTGTTTAATAGCAAGCAAAACTTATCATAATAGAAATCGGGAAGTCGTGTTTCAAAATATTTTTGCAAAAACTCAGTGATGGATCTAAAGCTTTTCAAGCCCATGGAGGCTCAGAACATCTCATCAAAAAGTGAAAGTTTTTCTTTTTAAAGTTCTCATTCTTTACGCATCATTTCTTGTGAAACAGTCTTTTTGTCGCTTTCAGAACATTCGGAAAACTCATTTATGAAAAAGACCTAAAAATCACGTGAAACCATCAAGTTTTTACTTGTTTTATAAGTAAGACAGTCGTGTACATTAAAAACGGTTTATATAATAAATCTAGAGCTTTTTGTTGTTTAATGGCCAAAGAATTCTTCAGTATAATAGACTTCCCACTTTTTCGTAGCTTTTGCTCGAGTCAGACTTTATACAATTGTTCTTCTATGTTTATCAGACCTATATTCTATGCGAATATTTTCATAGATGTTACAATAGAGATTTTTGAAAGTCGAAGCTTTTTCACATTTCTTTTTTATAATGTTCTTTGCCTTTTTTATTCTTCCTTACGTTGTCATCATTCCAAATATGTTCGTATTCCACCTCTTGTATGGTTTTTCTCCACAACTCAAGCAAATATCACCTATGGGAAAAATCTAGATACATTTCGTCTGTAATCGGGCGATACACGACTAGTTGCCATCTAGATTACTAGTTGGAAAAGGGACTTTTAACTAGATGCGTCTGCAGGTGCATCTAGTAATAGTTAAATCGCTCGATTATCGGGCGATAAATCGATAGTTGCAACTAGAAAAAATCTAATAATCGCCCAGTTACTAGATTTCCACTATCGTTACACAGTAGTTGCAATCGAGTAAAAATCTAATAATCTAGATGAATCGGGCGATACTAGATTTTTTTTTGACGCTTGGGCATAAACACGAAGCTTCAAGCTTCTTTTTAATGAAAGAAAAAATAATTTCACAATAATATATATTTCGCAATTTTTATATAGTCGTTGCTTATTATACGAGAAAATTTACGTGTTTGTAAACGTTAAAGAATCACGTGAAAGTGACCAAAGAATGTAGCATTATTAATACATTTTATTCATTTATGTTTGATCAAAGAAAGAAAAAAATGAATAATAATATTATTACAAATAGTAAAACAACGCAAAGAGCAAAAACGGATACCGTGTGTCTCACCAAAAGAAATTTGTTATGATAGGTTTTCGAGCCTACAAAACCTTTTTGTCAAAAGAAGAAAGTTCGTAGTGCACCAGTTGCCATTCAACCGGTCAAACGCTTGAAAGCGCGAAAAGAACGCTCAGCCAACATAGCAGCTTTTGTGTTTGTTCTATGTATTGTTTTTTCATGCCAAAGGCTGCTTTTGCTTGAATTTCGTCATCAGGAAGTGATTCTTTAACGTTTACAAACACGTAAATTTTCTCGTATAATAAGCAACGACTATATAAAAATCGCGAAATATATATTATTGTGAAATTATTTTTTCTTTCATTAAAAAGAAGCTTGAAGCTTCGTGTTTATGGTACAAAAATGTGAAACACGGTACAGTTGCTTCAATAGTGGAGAAAAGTTCTTCATCACGTCTGTCATGGCCTGTGAGGGCAGTCCAACTAATTCAGCACTCCTTAAGAATCGCTTTTCATAAAATATGTAATAAAATTTCAGATGACTGATAACGCTATCTCGAAACTTGAGTCTCTTCCAAATGAAATATTATTGGAAACTCTACAATTAGAAAATTCTCATAATCTTATTTTGACATGGTACAATTTGAATACTCGTTTAAACAGTTTAATTGAACAATTGCATTCGATCGATTTATCCAGTATATCATACGCATATTTTTTGAGCTATTGTTCTCTGTTAATTAATCGTCAACACCAAGTATCATCATTAAAATTATCTAATGTTGATAGCAGTGAACAAATTTCCTTATTTTTAAGCAAATTTCCATTACAAAACTTTCACCATCTACGATCATTGTCACTCATTGAAGTGAAACAAGTTGAAATAAATGAAGTTATTTTAAACTTACCAAGTTTAAATCACCTATTATATTTATTAATTGACTGTCATACAACATATTATGAGGAAGTTTTGTTAAATGATATTACTTCAACATCATTGCGCTCATTAACCCTTAAGTCAACTAATGCAATTCACTATAATTGGTCAAACGTTGGTCGATTATGCCCTAATTTAGAATCTTTAAATGTAAATTTCTTTATTTATGTTGATCAATTAGTCCAATTGCTTTCTTCTGTTCCAAATTCTTTAAAAAAATTATCAATTGCTCTGAGAGGAGATAATAATTACTCAAATATAAAACCATTCAATGATCTGTCTCTATTAAATATTAACACAAAAATCGAAAATTTGTACATTTCTCTAGGTCCAGATGTTTCATTTAGTGATTTTAAATTACTAATAAAACAGTTTAAGCATCTAAAGAAATTATCCACAGAAATGAGTTTACCTTGGAATATTAGAAATACTGAAAGTTCTTTGAATGGCTATGAATGGGTACAGATAATTTCAGAACATTTACCGAATTTACATACATTTAGTTTACGTGTTGAAACATACAAGGAGCATTGGAACGATCAAGTATCACATTCATTTAACACTGATTTTTGGGTTAAACATCGTTGGTAAGCATGTTTGAATAAAGTTTTTAGTAGGCTAGTGGTTCATTTAGCTGGAATACACAGATCGAAGAGCTCTGCTCGTGAACGACTGTAAACGGAGACCGTGTATGGATGCCGTCTATCGTGAGAATAACGCTGAAATGATACATCGACATTTATACGAAAGCTCGTTCAGTGGAAAGGAGAAATTAAGTGAGGTTGGTACTGCATGCACATTCAACTGGTGCAATAGTTGAATTCTTCAGAGTCTGCGTCCTCACGAATACTGTCTCGTGATGCACCCTCATGCTTCGCACAAAGTATTTTTAGCATAAACCCCCCCCCATAATAGAAGCCTCCGGGGCTTCTAAACTGTCCGAGTGTTCAAAATTTTTAGGGGGGGCTTGTATTACGAAGGGGCTACTATTACGACTTTCGTACA